TCATTATTCAGTCTGGGCAAACCAGTAAGACAACAAGTCCACAGCATCATACACATATCCCCTTAATAGGGCATATACACGTTATCTTTCCTTTCATAGCTGATTCATTATTTGGTGCACACTATTTTGTTAGTGTCTCATGATCATGACTGCTAAGGGTTGAAGGGTACTGAGGACACATTTTATCTGCTGAAATCCTGCTTCACCGGAAGAGCATTTCCAACAAAGATACTAAAGTTCAATGACTTGATGTTGTGACTGCATCAAAGGATTATATTTTTGTGTTTCTTATACAAGTTACTGATGCTAATTTTAAAAAGGTAATCATAAGGTACTAATTTTTCTTGTTGTTTGACTTAAAATCAAAATAAATCAAATTGTAGCAAACTAACTAAATATCTACAAGTTAAACTCTCTAAACATTAAAAAAGATCATTTAGACAGGTTACAACACTAAAACATTGAAAATATTTTTTTTTAAATTTAAAACACAATTTAATAATGGCTCTATTGTACTGATTTATTTTCACAGTGCAGCCAAGTACCACTCTGAGCTTCGATGTGTCATTGTGACCGTTAGAAAAGGTGAGCAGTGCATTAACATCCACTAATAGCAACTACACAACTGATGCAGTTCATGAGTAACCGCCGTTTTGACTTTTTACAGCATTGCCAACTCCATCACCCAATACACCAGAGTGTGAGTATAAAAGTGTGGAGTGATGTTTAACACTCAAAGTTAGTCTTATTTGATAGATTTAGTGAATAAATAGAAAATAGCAGAAGAATAAAATCTTGTACTTATGTTAAGGATGAGTCAAACCAAAAACCCAGAACTTGTTGATAGTTTCCCTCATTCCAGTGGAATCGCTGCATAATTGCTCTTTGCATAGTTCAGCTTTGGTAAACATTTGCTCACTTTCAAACCACCCACTAACTTCTAACTAACGTAATTTTCAGCTTCATCCACTAGAGGGCAGAGTGGCATATGAACCACTAGCGCTAGCAAGCTTAGCTAAAAGGCTACATGCACACACCTGGTAATTATTGATATGTATGTATTGATATGTAAGAGACCAATAAAATATTAGAATTTCACCACAAGTCAAACATAAAGTTCTTGGATAGGCTAGAACATGCAGAACTCTATATCCTTTAATTGTTGAGGCTGTAGACCAAAATGTTTATTTGTACCAGGTTTAAAAATGTTAAATTTAATTCTGAAGTTTGGCTTCTGAACATGAAAAGTCAAGCCTCAAGTGCACATTGTAGTCAAGAACTTTGTTTATTACAACTACAAAGTAGGCTTGATTGTGACTGCAAAGTGTTCTGCATTTCAGCGTTGAGCCCTTGAGTAAGATGACTTACTCCAGAGCTGCCAAATGAACAAAAGTGACCTTGAGAAAACTCTTACAAAATTTATCTTAATTTCTCAGTACTCTTAATGGGAAAACACTGTGAAATGATAAACAAAGTGACAGAAAATAAATAAAAACAAATATTGTTGAAAACTAATTGTATTAGTTTTACAAAACTATGTTTGAAAATACAAAAATGACCCATCTCTAATGACATGAACATAAAGTTGTAAAGGACATGTTATGATTAGATAACTCAAACAAATCAAGTCAGAAAAACATTCTTGTTGGTTTAGAGACATTCTAACATTCTTTGTGTTTCTAGATGTTGCAGCGCTGAAAATGAAGTTTTCCTCGTCGATGGATTTATCTAAAATCAATACGAATGTCTTCCTAAATCAGGTCAGACTTATATCCAGTCAGAAATCAAATAAGCGTACCAGTGAACTGCACCCATGCAGTTGTAGACATTACGATGGAAACAGCTTCTGTGAGTGATTACAGAAAAAAAAGTTCAGATCACAGTGTGTGTCTGAACTTTTGTCTAAGTTTGTTTTGTTTTGTTTGCCTTCACTTGCTGTTTTTTGGTATTCAGGCAGCACAAACACTTTGATTTGAAATATCAAATTCAGTATTTTTAAATTTGTTAAAATTTCTGTGGAGAGGAGCAGGACTGTGAACTGTAATAATTACATAATTACCATCAGAATTACCTGTGGAATTATTGCATGGCTAAACTGAGCCATGTCCTAACTGACTTCCTGCAGCACAAATGTTTAGGAAATGTGGTGTATTCATGTATACAGTGACTAACAATTGTATTAGACCACCAGTCATAAAACCAAGAAAACAAAATGTGTTTAAAATTAATATTGCTATTCATTAAGCAAATAACAATCGGGATGACATTTTTCAATTCCGACTTCTCTGAGAAATCTGAAATTAATCAAGCATGAAAATCATCAATGAAAACTAATTGGTCTCCTCAGGAATGCAAGTAATTAATTGAAATGTAGGATCTTAATCCCAAAAATTAAATGTCTTTGCTTTGTTCTTCAGCTTTATATATGCGTATGTATCTAGGACTGATAACTGTTCTTAGATAAAACAGTTAGCAGAACTATAAAGTAGCATCTAAATGTGAAAGAATCAGAGGGAAAATCTAGCTTTACATCTTTTAGACTTTCACCTGTTTATGTTCAAGAATTAAGAAAACCTGAATTGTTCACTCAAGATATACATTACAAAATATACATTTTCTCAGTGTAAAATAGTAAAACTGTTTTGTAGATGAATTGTTTCTCAATCCACTTTCCAAAGAAAAACCACACCTGAGAGTGTGGTGATGTTTTCTCACTGTTCCTTCTTCCTCCTCAGATTAAACAGAAACTGCAGTCATACGGACTGCCTGATGACATCAGTCTGCGCCTCATAAGCAGTGTGCCACAGATTGGTGTAACTGTGTCCTCTAATTCTACAACATGAACCTGAAGTCCTGCGTCTGCATGCTCTTTCTTCACTGTGTATTTACTAGTTCAAGACTTTTATGTGGAAAGATAATAAAAAATATTACTTATAACAGATATTTTTGCACTAAACAGGTCTGTCATATAACATTCTTTATAATATTAAATTTTTAAAGGATCTTTCAAGGTTGAAATTTATGTTTACTATTGATTAATCCTTCTTTGTTCTTTCTTCCAATATCCTTGTCTGGTGGGCTGTGTTCTGTATGCAAGTGGTCGTGGAGGATTTTTTAAATCATATTTTTTACATGAGTGTAAGGTTTGAAAACTGGTTTTGGGTGAATCAGTTTCTTATACAGTCGTGTTTATTTGTTTGGCTTTACAAAGCTGTTCTTCGAAGTCTTAGCAGCCAGTGGTTGAAATGAAAAAATAAACAAAAAAACAATCTCAGTCACATTTCTGACTTCAATTTATTTTTCCTACAAATTAAATCAAACGTTTTCTTGTTTTCTGAAACATAGACTTAACATCTGACTTAGGATCACTGATGACTTAGACCTCACAGAGTTAAGAAAAACAGTTTTTGCATCCATTTCTTTTTAGCAAAAATTCTATTTTTCTTTTACCAGGTGAAAAAACATCAGAAAAGAGGAACTACAAACACCAACAGGACTGGAAATATGCTTAACTTTCTGCAGAGAAGTGTCTATGTTTGTGTTTATCGATTTCAGAAACTTTATTAAGCCCAGAAGCAACACGTTCGGTCAATTAACATCATTTTGCTTTAACCTCCTACCTGGCGTCCACATATGTGGACATGACATTTTGGGTTATTTAGACCAAAATACTCAATTTTGCTCAACAAGGGCCTGATATCCACTTACTAGGACATCATATTGCTACTGTTCTATCAAAATTTTAAACGAATATCGTTATATGTGGCTCCCATTTTTCAACTTCA